AAGAGGACCCCCAAGAGGGGCCCAAAGAGGCAAACATGAATCGCATCCCATGTTTTTAGTATGGTTTTCGAGTTCTCGCGTTATGAGCTTCCGACGTTCCGACATGGCCCCAGAGGCTCCTCAGACCGCCCGAAGACGGCCCAAGAGGCCCTCAAGAGGGCCCCAAGAGGGCCCAAGAGGGCCACCGAACGGCCCAAGAGGAGCCCAAGATCGTCCAAGAGGGCCCCCAAGACGGCCCCAAGAGGGGCCCAAGAGGGGGAACACGAACCAACAATTCGGGCCTTCCGCCCCAAGAGGCCCGCAAGGGAGTCCAAGAGGCTCCCTAGAGGCTTCACGAGGCCCCCAAGAAGAGGTCCAAAAAGAGGCCCCCAAACGGCCCCCAGGAGGCCTCCCAAACTGCCACCAAGAAGCCCCCGAGAGGCCTCCCACGATATCCGAACGGACTTCCAAGACGCTCAAGACGGCCTCCGGACGGCCCAAAATGCGATGCCCAAGTGGCTTCCAAGAGGTCTCCCAACAGAGGTCGACGAAGCAAAACGACATTGATGTTCCACGTATTGGTGAACAATTTTAACGTTCCCGCCTGTTCCGCTTCCCGACGCTGCAAGACGCCACGAGGGGCTCCGAGGATCGCCCCAAGATGGCCCGAGAGGCGTCAGACGCGCGCTCAAGACGGCCCCAGAACGGCCGAGGAGAGACGTCCGAGGCGGCCCAGACGGCCCCCCCTCCCCGCGGCCTTGGGGTCGGGAGCGTGAGCCGAGAACCCGAGATCTTCGCCCCAGGAGACCCCCCGAGGGCACCCGAAGCAAGGGAACTCCGACATTTCCTTTCTTTCAGGTTCGCCTCTTCCTCATCCTCCTCCTCCTCCTGTTCCTCCTCTTCCTCTTCCTCCTCCTCCTCCTCCTTCTCCTCCTCCTCCTCTCCAGCCTCCTCCTTCTCCTTCTCCCTGGGAACCCCATCACCTTCTCTGTTCCTCCCTCTCCCTCCGGCTACGTCCAGCCGCGGCGAAGAGAATGGCCCCCGAAGTGCCTCTTGGGCCTGTCTCAGGCCGTCGTGGGTGGACCGTAGGAAGTCTTGGAAGCCACCTGGGCCGTCTTCGTGCTTCTTGAAAGCCCCAGAGAAGAAGTACCATAAACCATAGGTCCCCTTAGACTTCGACCATCCAGCCTAGCTGGAGCTTGTTCGCGCGCGAAGCGCGATGGTTCTAGTATGTACGTTTGTATATATATATATATATATATATGTATATATATATATACATACATACATAATGTGTATATATACACCTATATATACATAGATGTACATATCTATGTCGAAATCGGGGTAGGGTGGGGGGGGAGGGGGGGGGGGAGCGGGCCGCTGCCTGCACCCTCCCTGGGCGCGCTCTGGTGGTTCTGGGGGGGCCCCAGAGCTCCGGAAACGGCCCGGGCCCGCCCCGAAGCAGGCCACGACTGGCTGAAGGGGTCCTAAGAGGGCCCAAGACTAAGACGACGCGAAGATCAGGACAAAATCGGATCGGGATAACTCGAAATCTCTGAGAATCGGCGGGTTTGGAAGATGTATTGGGCGCCGCGGCCGCTCCAGAGCGTTCCGGTACGCTCTGAGAGCGCTCCGGAACGCTCTGGAGCGATTTATCCCGATCCTAGCTCTGTTTTAAAGAGGGTCCCAAGAGGCCCCGAAGCCAAGTAGTGGCGAAGCGACCCGGCGTGCCTTTAAGCCCACCGAGCAATATTCTAAGAACCTTTTTGTGGTTCCCACGGAACGTTCTCAGAACATTTCTGGCTGGGACTGTCTTGTTGTATCACATCGGGTCTATGCTCCAAGAATATCTGTTCGTTCTTAGAGGATTTTGGGGTTCTAAGAACATGTTGTGGTAGGACTATAGGAATGCCAGGACGGTCGGTCCCTGCTCAACGAAGGCTCCCAAGATGCCCTCAAGGCGGCCGACGAGGATTCCAACACGCTCCAGCACGGACTCAAGAGGCTCCCCGAGAGGGCCATGGGACACAACATTCATCCATTTCTCAATGGTTTTGGGAGGATTTTGGCGTTCTCGCTTTTCCCGCTTCCCAGCGCTCCCTCACAACCTCGGAGGCCCTTCAGATCGCTCCGAGACGGCTCACGAGGCCCCGAAGAGAGCGCCAAGACGGCCCAGGAGGCTCCGCAGATAACCCAAGTGTGCCCCAAGAGCGCCCCAAGGGGGGACCCAGAGGGGGACCGCGAACAGATATTTCGGGGTCTCTGGCCCTTGAGGCCCCCAGTAATCCCCCGGATGCCACCAAGAGGTTCTCACGAAGCCCCGTGATGCGCCCAAGAGGCCCCTTGGAACCCCCAAGAGGCCCCCAAGGATCCCCCAGGGAACGCCCAAGAGGCCCCCCGACACACCCGAACAAATCATGTCCCCAGAAAGCCTTCCAGGGACATGGTTCATCATGGGCCCGAGAGTCTCCGGAGACTGCGAAGTACCATCACGCTAGTGGGGAGCTCTCTGGGAAGTTGACTGGGAACATGACTGCTCGCCTTCTCGCAGCCCTCCGCATCTCGTTTCGCACAAAGTTGCCCCAAGTGCCCTTTTGAACCGACGACGACGAAGACGAAGCGGCGAAGACGAGGACGACGACGACGACGACGACGACGACGACGACGACGACGACGACGACGACGACGACGACGACGGCGGCGACGACGACGACGACGACGACGACGACGACGACGACGACGACGGCGCGCCCCAAGAGGCGACGACGACATTACGACGACGACGGCACGCTTCAACAGGCTCCCCCAGATGCCCCCAAACCAATGTCCCCAGAAGGCCTTCTGGGAACCCGATTCATCAGGCCTCCGCCCCCCTACGCCACCATTTCGCAGAAAGCCTGCCGGAATGCGGAGTGACATGCATGGACTTCTCACTGCCCATGATGCGTTCAGCGTCATGGACACTTCTTCATTTCCCGTTCAAGCTATGTGTGGTCCACTACTTCAATGGAGCAGTGAACTCGTCAAGGCCTGGGGCCTGCTAGAACCTGAGCGCGCGCGATGCGCGCGCGAATGTTCCAGTATATCTATATATATGTATGTATGTATATATATATATGTATGTCTAATTACGTATGCATGCACGTATGCATGCATGCATGTATGTGAGTATGTATGCATGCATGCACGTATATATGCATGTATGTCTATCTGTCTGTCTGTCTGTATGCATGCATGTATGTATGTATCTACGTTTGTATGTATGTATTTACGTATGTATGTCTGTATGTATGTATGCACACACACACACATATATATATATATATGTATAGGAGTCGGCCTCGGGCAGGCTTGGGACCACGACCGCGGGTACACATGGGCGGTGCAGCGCTCCAGGGGCGCCCTTGTGGTTCCCACAGTGGCTTCGTGGTCGCACGGAGGGCCCACACATTGATACGACAGTCTACCACACTGGGTGTGTCACACCCCGAGAGCACCGAAATATGCTTTCTGAACGGTCTCCGAAGGCTTCCAGACTGCGTCAGGATGGGCGCTCGAGGACCCAGACGAGTACCCCGAGAGGCAAGCATCGCTGATTTGGATCGTGTTTTGCAATGTTCTCGGTGCCCTCTCTTAGTCGACATTCTGACACGGCCCACGAGGCCTCCGACCCCGCGTCAGGACGGGCCCAGCGACCCTTAGGAAGGCCCTGGGACGGCCTCGCAGGGCTCCATGACGCCCCCAGGGGCGCACAAGATGGCCCACGAGGCCCTGAAGACGGCCACGAGATGGCCTCCAGAGGGGGGCCGTGAAGCGAAATTTCGAGTATTTCGTCGCATGAAGCCTCCCGGAGGCCTCCAGAAGGCGCCAGGACGGCCCCCGGGCAGGTTCCAGAGGGCGTCCGGGGCCCCAGCCGAGCGCCCCGAGAAGCAAACATCATTTTGGCATCGCTCGGACGTGTGCATTTTTTCTCGGCGAGAACCATCGAGTACCATCCTGGACCATCGAGCAAAAAAAAGCACGCACGAAACCGAAACATGCACGGGAAATGGACGTCCGAGCGACGGCAAGTCATTGTTTTCGCAAGGGTTTTACAATGCTTTCGGTGCCGTCTCTTTCTCGACATCCTGGGCCGCCGACACGGCATCAGGACGGGCCCAGCGGCCCCCAAGAAGGCCCCGGGAGGGTTCCATGGCGGCTCCAGGGGCGCCCAAGACGGCCGACGAGGCTCTCAAGACGGCGCCGGGATGGCCTCCTGCAGAGGAAGGGCATGAACCGAAATTTTGAGTGATCCCCCGCCTGGAGCTCCTCCCCCGAGGCCTGAAGAAGGCGCCAGGACGGCCCCGGGCCGGCTCCAGATGGCGCCCGAGGCTCCAGACCAGCGCACCGAGACGGAAGAAGCAATGATCTCGCAAGGGTCGTTCGCTGTTTTTGGGGG